CTTGTTGCCTCTTCGAGGTTGCCATTTGCTTGTGGGATAATATAAATAAAATAAATGTGTTTCTCACCTTCCACGGTGGTAGGTCTCTCTCACCCTCATTGAGCTCGGGTCCTCTACCAGAGGCCTGGGAGCTTGAGAGTTCTGCGCAGTATCTTTGCTGTTCCCAGTACTGCACTTTTCTGGACTGAGATGTCCGTTGTTTTTCCCGGTATCTGTTGTAGCCACTCTTCCAGTTTGGGGGTTACAGCCCCGAGTGCTCCGATCACCACAGGCACCACTGATGCCTTTACTTTCCAGGCTCTCTCCAGCTCTTCCTTGAGCCCCTGGTATTTCTCTAGCTTCTCGTGTTCCTTTTTCCTGATATTACCATCGCTTGGTATTGCGATGTCAACCACCACGGCTCTGCTCTGTTTCTTATCCACCACCACTATGTCTGGTTGGTTCGCCATCACCATTCTGTCAGTCTGTATCTGGAAGTCCCACAGGATCTTGGCTCGGTCATTCTCCACAACCTTTGGAGGTGTTTCCCACCTTGATCCTGGGGTTTCCAGCCCATACTCTGCACAGATGTTTCTGTACACTATGCCCGCCACTTGGTTATGTCGCTCCATGTATGCTTTCCCTGCCAGCATCTTACACCCCGCAGTTATGTGCTGGACTGTCTCAGGAGCCTCTTTGCACAGTCTACACCGTGGGTCTTGTCTGGTCTATATATATATATATATATATATATATATATATATATATATATATATATATATATATATATATAAACAAAGGAAAACCTCAAATCTCTGAAACATGTATTTTATTTTCAAACTGACCTCTCACTAGCAATTCCTTATTTTGCTGCATTCTCTGTAAAGTTATACAGATATAACAGTGTATAACACTAATTATACAGGCTGGAGTAAAGATGGAAGACCAAAATAAATGTTACATTTTCAAAGCTGCAAAGTCGCATAGTTATTATTTACAACATAAATCTAAGTAATTTCTACAGCAAATGCTTCCGTACTTCAACTTAAAGGTGCACTGTGTAACTTTTCTGGTGGAGGGTCCACATCACCTGCTTCTCTCCATGGAGATACTATCTTGAATGTTCCACAGTGTGGCATTACAACACAGAGCTAGATTATTAGATGTCAGATCTGTGAGGAGGCGAGTCCACTCACAGTAAGAAGGCAAGTTTTTAGGTCAATAAAAACACATAATGAGTAAATGCAAGTTGGATGTTTAATGCCATACTGGGATATTCCAGACAAAAGCATAACATCTCCATGGAGACAAGCAGATAGCGGACCCTTCACCAGAAAAGTTACATTTTACTTTATTTTTTTTACTATTAGAGTAATATTTGACCAGGTGTATCTGCACTATTAATTCAGTAATGAGATGTAGCATTTTGACCATGCAGTTCTAATTTTTCTAATTTTAAGAGGGATACAAATAAATTGATATCTTAATTAGATATGCATATGTAAGAAAAAACTAATAAACTACAAATTACAAAGATTCACAACTGTCACTTGTAATTGTATTAGTACATTTTGACACTTCCCACTCATCTATCTGTGTGTTATCTCTGTAGCACGGCCAGACAATAGCAGTCTAAAAACACACTTTTGGCCAGAGTTCTAAACACAGGCTGTCTGAAAGAGAGGAGCGGAGGAGGAATGACTAAGCTACAGACACATGGGCTGAGAAAATAAGAGACACAAACCAACACGAGTTGTGAGAGCTGCAGGCCACAACCTGGTCTGGAAGGGGAAAACCAAATGTGCACTGCTAAAGTTTGAGTCTGAAATGAAATATGGATTGTGCAAAGTGCTAGGGTCAATCAGAAGTCATAGTTATAACTTACATAATATAACAAAACATCATAACAAAACAAAACAGACAAAAAAAACTGTGAGGGTTCAAAAAAAAAAAAAAAAAAAAGTCTAAAAAACAAAGCTCATTTGTAGGCATACAGAATAATATTATGGCACAGCTCAGCCACAAACAACCTTCACTACCATCATCTCCTTTTACAGATTGATTGATAGTGTTATTGAAAATAATAAAATATTTTACAATAATCAAGGCAGTAGTTGAGTAGCAGAGGCCTGGAAGGTTTACTGAGGCGCTGCTTTTCTGTATTTTATTTTATATGATGTTGTTAGGACAAAAACGTACACTGTTATACTGATTTAACAGCCTAGTGAATCCAACCTAACCCTTTTTGAGAGCTGAAGGTTCTGGACCTAAGTGTGTGCACTATGCCTATCTGCAACACGTGATTGAACATGCAGAAGGGATACCCTCTCATCCCTATCCATGTCTTATTATGTCTTAAACAGGGTACATTGTGGGTTACACAGTCCCTCCTACCTTGACAGGGGAGCCATAGATCTCCAGTATTGGATGCACATAGCACACATCTTTATGTTAAGATGCATTAGACTAACACATGTTAATTTCCTAGAGAGACTGATGTTATGCTAAAAAGCCCACAGTAAGTATTAATGATCAGATACACTGATTTGAGTTAGTTGTCAGTGTAGTGCCTGTATGAGCAGATTTATATTCAGGTGCTGTTTATAAAAGACTCAGATGCAGAAACAGATTTCATTGATCCCAGCTGCTTAGGTTTTCTTTTGTACCATGATTTAGGAGCAAACTGAGACCTCCTGTCTGGACCCTACACTTCACTGTGAGTAATATGCAGCTGTTGATGGAGAAATACACATGCCTGAGGCTCTGTGCTGCTGTCGTCTTTCAAATAAGAATATACCTCGTTTAGTGACTGACTGTTACACTAACTTATCTGTGAAGTGCATAACATTATTGATGAAACATTCAATTTACAATTTTGTACACTGAAAAAAAAAGGTCGCTGGATTTGTATAAAAAAGTTATGGAAAGCGGTTGCATGCAATAAAATTATGTTTAGGCTATGAAACTTATTTCGATCCCCTTTACGCAAATTTTTCTCAGAACTTAAACATCACTTTTTCATGTTGATGAAATTTGATCAAATCTTGCTGAATATGCATGTTTATCTTATGGTACCTTATCATGAAATGTATAAGTATGTATAATTTAATTTAATTGATCTAATTCTGTAAAATAATACAAAAACAGTCTTTAGTTTTCCACAGTTCTGTATTGTCTTAAACAGAATCAAACACACAGAGAGCACAAGTACAGAGACACAGTTTGGAGCTGGACAGTGTGAAGATTTATTCCAGTTAAGACGCTCTGGTCTCTGCCTGTGGACACAGGAATAACACATGATGATCACATTATGATGATCTACTCTGTTGTATATGTTCAAATACATTTAAAGTACTTATTACTACAATAATGGACCAGAACAGAATCACAAGAACATTAGAACTGTATCTGCAGAAACAAAACTCACCATGTGCTGCTTTTTTTCCTCTAAACGCAGTAACATGTAGGGCATTTGGTATAAAGTCCTCCTAGTGCCACATCACCCTGTAGAAACACGAAAACTGTTTCAATAGGAAGTTCATTTTGAAAAATTCTTTTAAAATCATTTTAGTTGAGTTACTTACTTTGTTCATCTGTGGTCTGTGGTTTGTTGGTTCTTAAACATCTTTCTTTTTTCTGAAACATCAGCTATAACATTCATGAACTTTCCCACAGCTCCAGCAGAGCTCTGGAGATCACTCTTTGTTTGTAGACGACTCTGGAACAAACACATTTAAATCTGAGTACAACTGTCACACTCTTGTAGATGGACAGTCAAAGACAATTTGTTTCATGGAAACAGTCCTGACATTAACTCTAATTTCAAATAAAACACCACAAACATGTTTTAACAATGACGACATTCTAGGCCAGAGAAGCACAAAAAATCTTTGAAAAGTCTCACCTCCAGATCAGCTCTCATAATCCTCCTGCCCCACAGTGTGTGTCCTCTGCTCATCTATCTGTCCTGTGTCCTGTTAGATTTGAATTTTCCCTCCAAAGGTTTTGGGATGGAGAATTCCAGAGGGAGGAGCCTCATCAGAGATTATAATAAAGTCATGTTTCCTCAACCTGATTAAAACATGCAGATCTAACATCGGCCACAATCAAGCGATGTTTGTAAGATTTAAACATGCTGGACAGAGAAACATAAAAAAAGTCATGTGATTGTTGTCAAATTAGTTTTTGCAATTTGAGCAACCCCCTCAGACCTTTTTTCAGTGTACTTCCAGTGCCATAACTGAACAGGTAAATGGGTGAGGTTTCAGCTTTGCTTTCACAACCTTAAAATTAAGAAATCCAAGTCAGAAGTTGTGTGTGGCATCAGAGTTGCTGCTTGATTTAGACTCAGAGACAGAGTTTACAACAGTTTATGCTTTTGTATTGTGCAAAAAAGATGTTGACTTTGCTTTAGTTGTTAGTTTTTCATTGATTTTCTGCAGAGCTCAGCAGACAAATATTAAACAGCAGCAACTGAATACCATAAACACTCACTGACAACAGGTTTGGAGTAATGCGCGTCAAGAGAACAACAAGACTGCAGCATAGACACGCCCCCAAAGAGAGGGAGAGAGCAATGAAGAGAAGGAAAGAGCGTAACAGAGTGGTGGTAGAGGCAACAGCGCAGGCTTCCGCTTTGCTCGGAGCATCACCTGTGTGACTGGAGAACGGCAGACACTTCCTGCGCTCTCCAGCAGATCTGTGGTTCTTGGACACGTCCCTATTGTGACCGCAGAGAAACAGCGCGTAGAAGAAAGAAAACAAGGCCGCCGAAAGCAGCATGTCCGCACGGCGCCTGCACTGTGCCCGGCTTTGGAACCTGGGCTCGTCCTAACACTTACTGGACTTGTTGCTGACCCAAGGAAAAGAAGAAGCCGGATCCAAAGTATAAAGTTTTTATAAAGTTATGTATGGTATGCATCTTGAGGGTTCTCTAAAGTGAATGAGCAGAGGGCTCGTGGCTTTCCTCTGAATGTCTGCTCGTCTCTCGGGTGCTTTGAGTGACCCTCAGCTCTAGTACCATGGCAGCGGGAGTAGCAGCGTGGCTGCCCTTCGCGCGCGCAGCGGCTATCGGCTGGATGCCGGTGGCCAACGCGCCCATGCCCATACCCCCCAAAGAAAGGCAGCGGGGAGAGGACGGACTTATCATTCTTAATGTAAGTGGCACTAAGTTTCAAACTTGGAGTGATACTTTAGAGCGCTACCCGGACACGCTTCTGGGCAGCTCTGAGCGGGATTTTTTCTTTCACGAAGAAACAAAGGAGTATTTTTTTGACCGCGATCCAGATATTTTTCGCCACATTCTGAACTTCTATCGCACAGGAAAACTGCACTACCCGCGTCAAGAGTGTATATCGGCGTACGACGAGGAGCTTTCCTTTTTTGGCATTATCCCGGAGATTATTGGGGATTGCTGCTACGAGGACTACAAGGACCGGCGGCGGGAAAACCAGGAGCGCATACAGGATGATGAGGAGACGGACCAAGCCAATGATCTGATCTCCGCGGATATGTCTTTTAGGGAGACTATGTGGCGCGCCTTTGAGAACCCTCACACAAGCACAATGGCTCTAGTCTTCTACTATGTTACAGGCTTCTTCATCGCAGTGTCAGTGCTGGCCAACGTGGTGGAGACTGTCCCGTGCGGCACACTGCCCAACCGCGTAAAGGTTGTGTCCTGCGGTGAGCGCTATGAGTTGGCTTTCTTCTGCCTGGACACCGCGTGCGTCATGATTTTTACTGTGGAGTACCTGCTGCGTCTGATGGCCGCGCCCAGCCGATACAAGTTTGTCAAAAGCGTGATGAGTATTATTGACGTGGTGGCCATCATGCCCTATTACATTGGCCTTGTCATGACGGACAATGAGGACGTAAGTGGTGCCTTGTCACCCTGCGTGTCTTTAGGGTGTTTCGGATTTTTAAATTCTCGCGGCACTCAGCGGGTCTGCGCATCCTGGGCTATACACTTAAGAGTTGTGCCTCAGAATTGGGCTTCCTGCTTTTTTCTCTCACTATGGCCATTATCATCTTCGCCACAGTCATGTTTTACGCGGAGAAGGGCTCCAGCGCCAGCAAGTTTACCAGCATCCCCGCGGCTTTCTGGTACACCATCGTTACCATGACGACCCTGGGGTGAGTCTGGCGCGTGCGGGTGTGTGCGTATTTGTGTGAGGGGCTTGGCTGTGTAACCCTACCTGTTGGTAATGTTTTTGGATGCGCTTTATGCCTACCTCTGTCCATGGTGCTGAAGACAAATAAAGTTTTGCTTATGTCTGTTCTTAGAAGAGAATCAGAAAAGTGCTCTTGCCATATAAAGCTAAATACTCATAAGTATAGTAGCATTAAGTATACTTAACTATATTTTGTTGTCATAATTGATCAATTATTATGAAATACTGTGTTATGTCCATGTGACCTGTGAAACTTAGTTTTGGTAATGTTTTTTAAATTCTTTCCTCTGTCCATGGTGCTGAACAGTTACAGATAAAATAAGTTGTTTTTTTACCTAAAGTTGTCAAAATGGAACTATCGGAATGTAGTCGTAGTATTAAGTACTGAATATAACATAAACAATAATTAGCAACAATGTATCTGCATAATTCATGTTAATGGTTTTCTCCTTATTTACACTTTATTTATGGCTAAGTACTTGCACTAAATTGTTCAATCTGATGTCAATACAGGAAAGGCTGACTGAGCCAAGAGCATTTATCTATGTCTAATTGATTAGAGAAGCGTAATTATGGGCAGCCTGTTGGAGGAAAAGTTCTAGTTACAGGAGTGTAATCAGTCTATGTCTGACCTGTGCCCATTGGCAGCATCAGGTCATGTGACTTAATAATACATGTGTGACAGAGCTGTCTGTTGCAACTGAAATCGGACACGCACACAGACACAACATGTGCCACACACACCCAAGCACACAATATATATCAGTTCAGTGTGTTTATGTGGATAAACACATGCAAAGAAAAGGTTAAAAACAATAACAACTGATCATAGACATATTTTATTTAATGTAAATTTAGACACAGCTTTAGTACTCCTGTGTCTCTATGGGTTGGTATGCACTCAGTGTTTCTATTAGATGACTCTAATTTAATTAATGCATTAGCGGGCTAACGGCTCTCACACTCATATGTTCGTCTTAGTGTTTCTCTTTGTAATGAAGCCACCTACAGGGGCATCCAAGTGGAAAAGATGGTATCTGCGGGCAAAATCACATCCCCTAAATGTTAGTAGTGTTTAATTTGGAAATGGACATTTTAATGGGGCAGTGATTGCAGGAAGACATTTAGGAAGTGTGGAAAAGCAGTCGTATTAGTAGATTCACACTTTTGGAGCAATTGTACAAAGTGTTAGAGTGAGAGCAAGAAGGAGGGACGAACACTCACACTGACTCTGAGGCAGTAAGAGAAATGCCACACATTAAACACAATTCAGTAATTAATCTAAATTAACCTTTGATTAGCTTGCTTTCCAGTTTCCACTTTCCAGTTCATTCTAATATATTTGTATTTCCCACATTTATCTCTTACAAAGTTAAAGGAGCGGAGCACTGTGTGTACTTAAATAGCAATAGTTGGGGTTAAAACTGTAAAAAACTTAGTGAGCATTACCAAAACTTTGGCAAATGGAATGTATCAAGCAGAAATGGGCTCCTGGAAAATCAGCATCTTTAAGGTCATAATATGATGGAAACATAACTTGTCTTATTCTGGAACAACAGTCCAAATGAATGTTGCAGGTATTAGTTGTGTTGTAGAGTTGTTGTTTTTTTCAACTACTGTAAAGGCTGTAAGAAAGCAGTTAAAAACATGGTCAAAACACTGGCTGTGAAGAGAAAAAAATCTCTCCAAGAATCACTTTATATTTTATACTGCAAAATACAACCATATTTCTCTCTTAAAACAAAGAGTATAGACAAAAATGCAATGCTGTCAATACATTTCTCAACTTGAACAGGTCTTTAGCTCTAATCAAGTCTTTAGAGGATCTTCCCTCCTGTCTTTCCTTTTATGTCCCCCTTTTCCTCCTGTATTGGTTGATCTCATCTTTAGAAATGAATGAAGTGTGCCGGAGTGTGCGTGCATTGATCAGAGCAGGCTGTGAATATCAATGACAGCTGATAAACACACAGCTGCACACACGCACACATTCAGCCCCAGGAAACAGACTGCCTGTTATTTAAAGATAAATTCTCCTTGGAGATCAGAGCCTGCATTGGGAGTTTCTGCTATTCTTTGTCTTAGTCTGGAAGCAAAGCATTGTGGGACATAGATCAGCAGCATCAGCACAAAGTGAGACTAAGGGCTCTGGGGTTTGATGATGTGACACAAATATGGATGGCTTTATGTTGTCAGGTCTTTTGTGGGAACACCATTTAACACTGAGCATTTGGAGTAAATATAGTGTCTGCCTACACTGTGTATTCAAATACGAAACTATATTAAAGACTATAAACAAAAGTACTCTTAGAATGTTACGCAATGAAAACGCATGCACCCCTGAAATGTCCTGTTGCGTATTCTAGTTTTGATTTTATATTTTGTAATCTGAGATATTTTTTAATAATTTTCATATATCGACAAAAGAATGTCACTTGTGAGATTAACTTGCCTTAAAAAAGAAAATGGTTTGCAAGGACAGAAGCACTAACCACAAAGCTGTGCCACTTGTATCAGGTTTCCACTTAAGAAGTCCTTTAATATTTACAATCACTACTTGTCCACTCTCAGCTTCATCTTAGCAAGGAATAAGATGTTTTTGGTTGGACTGTATCATAAATAATTTCAGTATAGGCTGTAATTGAATAGTTTGTGAATTAAATTTTAATTGATACTTATAGTAGTTAGCCATTTTGTAGTTATTTTATTCATTGTACACGTATTGTTAATTTCTTCAAACATATAAGAAAACATACCAGACTAAGACTAAGACTCCTGTCTTTGCCCTCCCAGCTGGTACTTTTTTTTTTCCTGACCACACACAATGCATTTTTAATGTCCCATTGTGTCTTCATAACATGCTGTCAACAAATGTTATAGACCCACCTTAAGACCCTGCCCTCTGAGATCCTTTGCCTCCCGCTGCCGCCAGAGCCAGCTCGGGTTTCTGGTGCGGAACGTGTGACCTGATCTTAGCTCAGTGGACCATGAGGGGATCGTCTATCTACACCTGTCTGCACCTGCCGCACATGTGACCTCCATCCTGCCACACCTTGAAACGGGTGTTTGTGCTCCACACCTGCACTGCAGCATAAAGAACACATGAGAGGCACTGACTTGACACATGTTACACCATGTGATTTTTTAAACACAAGTAAGTGAGAGGGTGAATGTAGTGTCAATATGACAAAAAAGAAATCACAATGTTTTTTTCCCCTCATAGTCTCTAGATCTAGATTTTTAATGCTTATTTGATGCTTTCATTTCAAAAACGAAATTATATGGCTTTCTGTATTATAAACATAGACAACAAAAACAGTGCCATTTAACACAAAAAAAGCCCTCTCTTAAAAAAAAAAATAAATAAAAAAAGATGCTCTTTGACAATTAGAGATGAGACTGAATCTCAATCTCGATTCAAATTCGAGTAAGTGCCCAGCCCACCCAACAGGACCCCATAATACATATTGAGTTTCTCCTATCCTGCACCAGTAGTCTTTAGTGCATGGTTCTATAAAAATGTAATATAATGGGACTAATAATTCAAATTGTTAATTTGTATTACCACTGAATGATGATGTTGTTGTGCCTTACATTAGGCCAACTTTTCGGACATTTCTTACAAGCTATCATGTCTGTTTAAGGAGGTTATTTTTGTCAAATTTAAATCTATATAATCTAGCAATGTAATGTAGGAGAGACTAACAATCGCATTCGCATATCCTGACCACAAAAACTATAAAAACAAAATTACTTGTTGCATCAATTTTTATTACTGTCCTTAATTGTGGTAAGCTGACTAAGTTCTTAAGGGAATTGTTTAATATAAAAAGATTAATGGTCTTCCTCTTTTTTCCTCCTAGTTGTGTGGCAGTCTTTGCTTACTCTGCTTGTTGTATTTAAGTGTCAGAGAAATTTGTGTTATGTAAACAGATTGCATTAATTTCTGCTAGATAAGACGTGATTGTATTTTGTCTCATTTAGTTTTATTAAAGTTTCTGGGTGCTGTTGTTATAGTAGGTAACAATTCAAAACAAAATGGACAAAAGTACTCAAAAGACACCTATAATCAGGAAGCTGAAATCAGACCATGAACAGCACCACTCTATATGAATAATCAGGTATTACTAGTCTTGTATGTAACAGTGCTCTCTGGGGTTTCTCCCTCCAAGTTAATTTCTGCGCTTTGTGATGCCAGCAAAAATCAACAGCATTTTACTCCACCCTCTATTTAGAGAGTAATGTTAATCTTGTGACAACAGCGCGCACAGCCTTCGTAATGTTTTCTTTATTACACCATTGCAAATTTCCAACCCACACAAATGTATTTTCATTAAGTGCTCAGGGATCACATTTGGTGGTAATATGCAGATGGTAGAACAGTGATAAATATAGAGCCAAACTACACCTGCCAAATATTACCTTACATTGTGTTTGTACTTCTGTTTGACTGGCAGTAAAGTGGCAAGAAATAATTACTACATATTGTCAAGTCTTTTACTCTCTATCTAAATGATAATGATAAACTGCTAAGTACTAGGAGATGTGGCTATGTCCAAAGCACAAGCTCACTGTGCACTACGCCTCAGCAGCTCCAACTGAGACAATAATCAAGTCGAAGGGTCAATTAGTTGCCATGGTGACGGACTGCCAATTGGCCCTAAACTTGTTAGGTCTGATATTAAACAAGCCTGCTATGTTGCCACTGTTTTGCTTTCATTCTGCAATAAAATACAAAGGAAGATTCTTTCATATCTTTTTATAGTTTTTCTTTCCTTAAATATAAGATTAAAAACCCACTTGTGTGTTGCAATACAATCCAGGCCATGCTGTTGCTATAGATCATATAACTATGTGGGACTTACATAACATTGTAAAGCACACCTCATCTGGACATTTGGGTTACCTCATAGCTTCAGGTCTACAGTATTTGAGAAGGGCTGTTCTTCAGTGTTGAAAAAAAAAAAATCCCCAAATAGAAATAGATGTAGTTTTACTGAGTTTCAGCACTATGGACAGTTCCTAGTAGCACACTCACTAATTATTGGAAAAACTGTGAACCTATTTTCAGTGGAGTTGTCAGTCGCACTACAGTTGTGTTCAGGTTTTATTACATGGTAAATTGTAAATTAGCAGCATGTATGTAATGTTGAGTGGTAAATAATCACAAATGTTTAATTAAATCAGAGCATACTGAATTGTATACATTTATTGTTGACTGTTGAAGATGTGCCCTTGTGTCCCTTTAAGTAGTCTCTTTGGCTACACTTTGATAGGCTATTTTCTGTGTCTGTCTGGGACAGTTTCTCTTTGGTGTGTTCAGCCGTGAAACAGGAGCAGTGCTCACCTGGATCAGGTGTTTCAACAACATCCAGGGCAGCATTAAACCAACATCCGACTCCTGCTGTGCAGCTGGCACTGCGTCAGACTGGTACCACCACATGTGTGGAGTGACGCACTGATCGCAGGTCAGCACAGGTTTAATCTGTCCCTTTATCAGGCTTTGCACAGACTGTATGGTGATGGGGGGGCATTTAAGCATTTTTGAGTTTGTTTAAAAGCTTTATATAAAATGTATTATTATTTAAAATCATGCTCATGAATTGTCGAGGATAAACTCAGTGCTTCTTTGGTTCAGCTTTGTCCTTTTGTCCAACAGTCAAGACAAAGGAGAGCTTCTGAGGCAGCCACTTTTGTATTTTTAGCTTCATTCACAGTGAGTTGCTGCTTGACAAACATCACAAACAAACAGAAAGTACTTTTTATGGCTCAGTTTTAACACATCAACACTGTTTTAGAACAGGCGAAGCACCAATGTAGCTGATCATGTAATCTATGAGGCCTGCTTCATAAAGGATAATTTAAATATTGGTGTACTAATAGCTTCTTAATGCATTCTTCTTGGTCACAGCTAAAAGGCGGGAGAGTTCCTCTGTGTGTGTGGGTCATTATTTCACACACTTGTGTGTGTGTTATATAATGTGTTTGTCCTGGGGGTAATTACAGCAGGTGAGCAGCAGAGAGGAGAAAATCACCTTGTTTCTATAGAACACTGGGACATAATGCCCCACTCTTAATAGATCTGCATTAAAGACGTGTTATTTTTCAAGTCTTGCCCAGTTCACAAAGAAAATCAATTTTTATTTTTATTTTAAATTTTATATTCTGTAACAAATTGCTGGGTTTCAGATGACATTCTATAGTACTTTTATGATTTAATACAGATAGGGAGCAGATAAAATTAGTATTGTTAAAATGCAGATTTATTTTGCAATACAGCAAAGTCCTGGGTCTAGTAACTCAAATGATCAGGATCATCATTTACCTTTTGGATATTTTGTGGCAAAGTACAATGTAATCAATAGGGAAATCTGGTTCTTGGCCCCCAACTGGGAGTATGTCATCATCACATTCTAAAAAAAACACCAATATTCAGTAAAAAATTCTCCCATAGTGGCATGTGAGGAGGGTATTAAAGTTAAGGTTGTCCTGACTGTACAAAGAGGCTAAGAGGTTTCAGGGCTAATGAGCCAAGGTCCGACCTGTGCTTTAACTATGTAATGACACGCTCCAGTGACAGACTTCTCCTCACTAACTGCTAATTTATTTGTAGTTTTCCTTGTAGTTTGGGCCAACAACAAATCTCTCAAGTGTTGACCTGGTTACTGATGCTAATGTGCTTTTTATTTCTATGCTAAAGCTATATTAATGAAGCCGCATTGTGTTGTGTCACAGTGGCTGCAGATTATTATCAGATTTTTGCAGTTATGAGACTATTATAGAATGGATTAAAATTGTATGTAAACAGATAAGTCATTTGATTTCTTTCTGATCATGGTCCCTCTGATTACTCACATCTGATTTTGAGGTTTCCATGTCAAAGGCTTCCATCAGAATCCTTTAAGGCAGTGCTTCTCAAATAGTGGGGCGCGAGGCTCCGTCAAGGGGGGCGCGTTGGACCTCGGGGAACATGCTTTTTTATTTTTTTATTTAGATTTTTTTTACTGTCTTAAGGGCCGTTCACACCAAAGCGTCAAAAAACGCCTTGACGCCTCTATTTGGAGCCTTTGCATTTGAGTTTAGACGCCCCCGACGCGCGTCTTTGACGCCGTGGACGAACTGGACAAAAATACTTGACGCGCGTCCGTTGCCCTGGAAACAAGAGCCCGGTCCCGGTCTTTTCCCGAAACAATGTCAGACCAGACTGAGAGAGTGTTTTTATGACATAAAACATCAACGGAGGAGATCGGGTCGACTACTGGGGCATATTTCTACTCCGCTAATGACACTGGATCAGTCCCGGTCTAGTCCTGGTCTAGTCCTGGTCTAATCACGGTCTAGTCCTGGTCTAGTCCTGGTCTAATCACAGTCTAGTCCTGGTCTAATCACGGTCTAGTCCCGGTCTAGTCCTGGTCTAATCACGGTCTAGTCCCGGTCTGGTCCCGGTCTAGTCCTGGTCTAATCACGGTCTAGTCCCGGTCTAGTCCTTGTTTAGTCTCGGTCTAGTCCTTGTTTAGTCCCGGTCTAGTCCTGGTTTGGTCCTGGTCCGGTCCTGGTGTAGTCCTCGCGATCGGCTCGGTGATTGTGGCGTATATATTTATTCTCCGTTCATGTTTGTGGTTCTGGTTCTGGGTTTTTTCTTCCTGATAATAACGTCGCTGCGTCTCTGGATACTCGTCCCTGATTGGTTGACGCGGCGCGTCTGACGCGAAAAGTTCAGCATTTTCAACTTCTTGACGCTGACGCCTTTGACGCTGACGCCTTGGACACGCGTCTTGGCCGCTGACGCCAAAACGCTGAAGACGTGCCGCGCTGACGCCAGATTCGCGCCGCGCTGACGCCGAAAACGCGCCGCAAAAACGCAGACGCTCTAGTCGCGCGTCCACATAGACTTTACATAGAAAGTGGACGCTTTGACGCTTTGGTCTGAACGGGCCTTTAGAATAAAGTGCAATTGCACTTCCACTACTCTAGGGGGCAGCGGCGCTCTTATTGGCAGAGTGTGCGCAGGGAGCATTCGCTCAGTGGTGTAGGAGTTTTGTTTGCACTGAGCATGCGCGCTTTGCACACAGCACAGAGTTTGAGTATGAAGTGTAGACACGAAGTGTGGCAGACCCTCAAGTGACACCATGAAAAAAATATTTAACAGGGATGAGAAGACAGACGGAGAGAAACGGAGATAAAGAGACAAACGAAAATCTCCCGAAAGCTAAGACGAGGAAATATGACGAAGCGTATGTAGCGCTTGGCTTCACTGTGACTACGGTGGGAGACGAGGAAAGACCGGTGTGCTTACTGTGTCTAAAAATGTTGGCAGCCGACAGCATGAAGCCCAATAAATTAAGGCGTCACTTAAATACATTACACCCCAATCACTCTGATAAGCCGCTTGAGTTTTTTCAGCGAAAACGTGCCGAATATTGCCGACAATCATCCCGCTTGTGACTGCTACTTCAGTAAACCAGCGAGCGTTGTTGGCGTCATATAAGGTGGCAGTGTTACGCACAGGTGTACTTATAACAATTTTATAGACAAATGATACTATCTATAGTCACGCGCGGGGGGGGGGGGGGGGGCGCGAGATGTTTTATTCGTCCTAGGGGGGGCATGACAGAAAATAATTGAGAAGCACTGCTTTAAGGCAAGGCAAGGCAAGTTTATTTGTATAGCACAATTCGTACACAAAGTAATTCAAAGTGCTTTACAGAATAAGAAATACATTAAAATCATAATAAAAACAAATCAAAACATAAATAATCATGAAGATTAAAATTAAAAAAGAGAGACATAAATTGGAGAGAAGAGTGAGGTATGAAAACCTTTCAGTTATATGCACAGTTAAACAGAAATGTTTTGAGCCTGGATTTAAACAGCGTCACAGAAGAGTCTGTCTCACATGTTCAGGAAGACTGTTCCAGGTTTTAGCTGCATGAACCTGAAACGCTGACTCCCTTTGTTTAGTCCTGACTCTGGGCACCAGCAGGAGGCCGGTCCCTGAGGTCCTCAGAGTGCGAGATGGTTCATATGACACTAACATGTCACAGATGTACTTTGGTGCTCGGCCATGGAGAGACTTGTACACCAGCAGAGCTGCTTTAAAGTCTATTCTCTGAGGCACAGGAAGCCAGTGCAGAGACCTGAGCACAGGACTTATATGCTCGTACTTCTTAGTTCGAGTAAGGACTCGAGCTTTAAATGCTGCATGGTTGTATGTTGGTGTATTTTAATAGAATTTCATAATTACTAATTACCGGTACTTCAGACAACTTTTTAATTACCTTGCCACTGAGTACATTTACATGACCATTTATTTTATTGTATTCTTTTTACAATCCATGGTTTGGTTTGTTTTCATACCTGACAGTAGTTTTAACTGCTTACTAGCGGTCTTCCTCAGAGTGGTCACGTGATGTTGCTGTGACGTGACTGGCCAACTGATTTAAACAGGTTTTGGTGCTGTCTTCCTATTGACGGAGGCAGAACAGCACCATCTTGTTCAGGGCAGTATCCCAGGTCTGTGAGAGTACCGTGTCAGGTATGAAAACTAACTAAACTTTGGTCTGAAAAAATAATATAATAAAATAAAGGAAGACCAAATGTAC